GCTGCCGCCCCTCGACACAAGGAAGACAGGGAGGAGCAGGCGAGGGTGGGAGGGGAGGGAGAACTCTGGGAAGACCAGAGACAAGGTAACGGGAGTGCATGCCACGAAGGCGCTGCACGGAGGGGTGACCAAGGCGGTGGTGCCAGAGGACGGTCTGGTGCGACAGGGAGCGACACGAGCAGGGAGCCGACAGCTGACCTGACGCAGACGCAGACGCAGCTACCTGAGGGGACTCAGTGGTCAGTGTGTACAGGTCGGACCCCGGCTGCCGAGTGAAGGTAGCCAGGTGGCGACCCGTCCGAGCACACGTACAGTGGGTCACTCGCTCATAGGCAGGGGTGAACTGGTGAACACCCCCGTCCTGGAGAGCAGACCCCGCCACCAAGTTCGTAGAGAACGAGGGGAGGTAAAGACCCGACAAAGTGCCAGACGGGGCCGCAGGACAAGGGAGGACAGTGGAGGAGGTCGCAAGGACCGGGCCCCCAGAGGGGTCAGCAAGGGAGACAGCAACAGGCCGAGCGAGTGGCTCAAGGACTGTGCGGTCACGAAAGAAACAGCGGGAAGCACCTGAGTCCAGGGTGAAGGTGTGCAGTGCTGTAGCAGACTCAGTACCAGCAGACGCAGACGCACTAGCACCTAGCGCAGCAGCCATACCAGTACCAATACCTGGGTCAGGCGGCACACTCAGGTAACAGTCACCCTCAGCACTAATAGTCAATGCATACATGGCAGCAAGGATAGCATCATAGTCAAGAGCAAAGATATCAATTCCCTTCCTAAGCAGATCAGCCCAGCGAGGCAGCTCAGAGGCGTCAGGGAACTGCTCGCGCCAGGCGTCATCGAGGCGAGAGAAGCAGCGCTGTGTCGGGTGGAACCTCCCACAAGTCTGGCCAGCGCGATCACCTGTGTGGATGACGTACGAGCAAATGCCCCCACCCCCAGACCCCCCACGCTGAGAGTACCACTCACGAAGCTGCTGGGGCGAGGGAGTCTCGCCAGGACGCTGCTGCGGCTGCCTCTGGCCACCTCCGAACCCCCCACGCTGCACCGCTCCACCGCGCCCACCACCCGCTCCACCACCGCCACTACTGCCACCACCTCCTCCACCACCCCCACCCCCACCACCGCCGCCGCCGCCACCACCCCCTGCGCTGCCACTGACCCACCCACCACAGGCGCCACTCCCACTTACGCCACCACCCCCGCCACCCCCACCCCCTCCACCGCCGCCGCCCCCACCTCCACCTCCACCACCCTTGCCCCCCTTGCCCTTGCCGCTCTTGCGCCTCCCACCGGGAGCAGACGCAGTCCCGACTCCCTCAGCACCGAGGTAGTCGACAGCAGCAGCAGATGCAATGGAGGGGAGGAGGGGGGAGGGGGAGCACCCTTCAAAGAAGGGGGTGCGGGGGTCACCACGAGAGGCACCTACAGCTACAATACTCTTCTCAGCTGCTAGGAGTTCCTTCTCGAGGAGGTCGACAGTGAGGTCAGTGGGGGAGAGAGCGAGAAACTGGTCCCTGACAGTGCGAAGGGAGTCAGGGAGGCGGGTGAGAAGGTGGTACAGGGTGAGGTACATCGGGGGGGGGGGGGGGGGGGGGGTTCTTGGCGAGGAAATCGGGGGGGAGCGCGGCACGGTAGCGGAGGTCACTGGTACGGAGGTGGGTGATGAGGTCAGCGACAGTGGCAAAGGCGGACAGGTCGGGAAAGAGGTAGGGCAGTGAGAGACGGCCTATAGTAGCAGTGGCAGGGGAGGAGTAGCGCGCGACTACGGCGTCGTACAGTTCCTTGGCGGTCTTATGCTGGCCAAAATGCTCGCGCTCATCTAACGGCAGGTGGCTGCGAACGGCTAGGCGAGCGTGAGCGTCACGGGTCTGCCACTGCGAGCGCAAGGTGCTATCAGCATTGGCAGCAGGTGCGGGAGCGGCGCCGGACGTGTGGTCATAAAGAGAAATATCGTCCTTGGCGGTGATCTGAAGGTAGAGGTGAAGGTCATCGAGCCAAACATCGAACTTAATAGGACGACCCTCAGCGTCAAAGGTAAGCACAGTAGGACTGGCCATAGTAGCAGTAGCAGGAGGAGGAACAGTAGCAGCAGGACCAGTAGCAGTAGGAGCAGTAGCAGGAACAGTAGATGCTGCAGGTGGGGCACAGCAGGGCGGCGCGGCTCGGTCAGGGCGGCGCGGCTCGGTCCAGGCGGCGCGGCTCAGTCAGGGCGGCGCGGCTCAGTGAGGGCGGCGCGGCTCGGTCTGGGTTGCGCGGCGCGCTTGGACAGGCAGGGCGACGCGACGGCGGGCCTGGGCGGCTGCGGCGGCTGTGCGCGGGCTGCAGTTGCGCGCGGGCGGCGGTCTACAGCAGCGACGCGGCGGCCTACGGGCGGCTAGCGGGCTGCTCGTGGGCGGCTGCGGCGGTGCGGGCGGCTGCTGGGTCGCGCGCATCAGAATAAGGCCGCGCACGGGCGGCTAGCGGGCTGCGCGGGCAAAAAACGGGCCGCGCGCGGGCGGCTAGCGTGCGACGCGGCCAAACAGCGGGGCGCTCGAGGGCGCCCTAGGAGCGAGGCGTGTCAGAATGTTATTATCTAGCCTGTAGTGGGGTGCTCTATAGCGGGTACAACCCAGTTAGGGTTTGCTATATGTATCCCAACTACTGCTAGTGAAACCCCCTTCCTTCATTCTCGTTCTCATTTTCTTAACATGGTATCAGAGCAGGTCGACCCCCTTGGGTCGATCCTGTGGGTGGGCCCGCCACCTAACTGCTTCCGCTGCTGTTATGCTTCTCGCGCGCCTCGGGCGTGCGCCGTCTTCTTCCTGCCGCCGTGCGCTCGGGGCGCGCGGCGATTTTCTGCCCGCCGTGCACCCCGGGCCGCGCGGCGGTTTCCTACCGTGGGGGACCCGCGCGCGCCCCCGCCCTGTCCGTCGCGTCGCCCTAGGGGACCCGCGCGCTGCCCCCGCTGCCCCGTCGGTGGTCGCGTCGCCCCGCCACCCCGTCGCGCCGCCCTGGGGAGCCGCGCGCGACCCCCCGCTGCCCCGTCGACGGTCGCGTCGACCCGCTGGACCCGCGCGCGGCATCCCGTTGACCCTTGCGTCGCCCCCGGGGACCCGCGAGCCGCCCCTAGAGCCGTGCGCGACCCCCCCGCTGCCCCGTCGCGGCGCCCTGGGGAGCCGCGCGCGGCCCCTCGCTGCCCCATGGTGGCGCCCTGGGGGCCGCGCGCCGTCCCCCGCGCTCCTGCCCCGTGCCACCCGTTTTAGGGTTTGGGGGTGGGGAGTGTGGGGGTGGCGGTTGTGGGGGTGCCGGTTGTGTGCCCCGTCCCCTACTCCTCCTCCTCCTCCGTCTCCCGCTGCTGCAGCTGCCGCTCAGGGGGGTGGGTGTGTGGGAGCCGAAGGAGTGGTGCTAGGGGGGTGACGTGGGAGTGGAGTTAGGGGTTCAGCAGGGGGTGTGTGTCAAGGGTGTGGGTCAGTTGGAGGAGGTTGTGTGGAGGTAGCTGTCGTGTCGCCTGCAGCGCCTGTAGTCCGTCGCCCTTGCTTCGGTAGCCAGTGAGCCTGTTGCACCAGTCGCCAGTGGGTCCGTTGCTCCTGCCGCTCGTCTTAGCCGCGGAGCCAGTCACTCCAGTAGTCCGTCGCCCTTGCTTCGGTAGCCACTGAGTCAGCCGCTCCTGTGCCCGTGCCTCTGCAGCTTCAGTCGTTGCCTCTCATCTTCTCTCCTTCCACAGTTCCTCCTCCTCCTCACTTGCCCGCTGTGATTACCTCTAGCTTTGCTTATTATTGTGAACTCCTGCTATGCCTGCTCATTGTGCTGATTACACCCCACTTTGGCTATGGGGGTGTGTCAGAATGTTATTATCTAGCCTGTAGTGGGGTGCTCTATAGCGGGTACAACCCAGTTAGGGTTTGCTATATGTATCCCAACTACTGCTAGTGAAACCCCATTCCTTCATTCTCGTTCTCATTTTCTTAACAAGGCGCACGAAGGCACAAGAACGAGAAGGTGCACGAGGGCACTACTGACGGAACGGTGGGCCCGTAGATCGATCGGTCCTAGGTTCCTAACCTAGGCTCGTAATACCATGTCAGAATGAGAGAAGTGTGTGCACTATGAGAAGATGGGAGTACAAATACAAAACCCTAGAATTGTGTACCCCCTAAAGGCTAACCCACTGTAGCCTACACAGCAACAACACAAGTATAATGTTTGACATAGAGCTTGTAGATTGCCTCATGTATCTGATAGCGTGCACTCCGCCTAACCTCGTGTACCATCTTAGCATCTTGTTAAAAGACATCATCATAAGACACACTAGTAGTAAAGGACTCGAGAAGGACAACAATTCTACTAATGAGTACCTAAAAAGGAAAAATAAGCCGCGATCGTAGGCCATGGAGGTATGATAAGGCATTTTTTTTTAATCGAGATTGTACTGCAGCGCCTTTGGTTTCTCCTTGCCAAATCCTTTACCCAACATCGATCCCTTAATATTCTCTCCTGCCTAGCAAGGACGGCCTGCTATATAATCTCGTCAACTATGTTATTCGTGATTCCGTTTAACTTACCCCGAAAACTGGGGCGCAAGGTGGCAAACACCATTGACCGGTAACGGGCGAAGAACAGGCGAGCTCATGAACAGTGTTGTGCATGGTGGAACCATATGGAAAATTTGGAAAATTGGAACGGGCTCGACGTAATATCATTACAAGCACTCCAGATTGTACAGGATCACAGCACGGCGAGGATTTGCGCCGCCTGGAAGCCCCCCCCCCCCAAGTGGCATGTGAAGCTAGCAACCATAACAAGGGTTTGGTAGTTTTCCGTTCGTCCGACCTGTCAAAACGGTGTGAGTGAAAAGCTACTAAAAACTGGCCATCCCTTTTGAAGCTGCGTTTTCTTTTGCCTAGGTTTGCGTTTCCTGCCGAATATCGACCAACCGGTTTTGGCGAGCAGATAGCTTGGAGGTGTCTTGTTTGGCTTACAAGCTTTAAGCCTTTTTATAGGATCTTTCAATCGTGGCCATGGCGCGAGAAGAAAAAGGCTCGGCCGGTTGCCATCAACAAGAGCGTAGCATCCTTTGCATTAACAACTGCGGATTCTTTGGCAGTCCGACGACCCTTAACATGTGCTCCAAGTGTTATCGAGATCACGTTCTCAAGTCGTCCCAAGCCGAAGAAGCATCGTCAGCTTTATCAGCACCGTCTAGCAGTTCGACAAAGCTTGCAGGTGTGCCATCTCTTACACCCGTTTACAAGCATATCGCCTCATGCATTCACATGTATGGTTTCTACCGTTGTAGTCATGCAGTATACTGTTGTTTGTCTCTTTTGAAGGTGTCTAATGTGCGTTGTTGAAGGGATACGTCGCACAGCGTTTGTGAATATCGATCCTCACTCAAGTGCTGTATTTAGATTACTTCTAGTATCTGTTTTTGTTTTTTGTTTGTTTTTTTCTTTTTTTTTTTTCTGATTGTTGATAACTTCTATCTCTGCAGCTCCATGCGCTGAGAGAGTTTTTTCTCCCTCCTTTCCAGAACCTATGGAGCCTGGTTCGTCTAGGGTGACCGCATGTCCTGCGACCAGTGTTTTAGCAGGCACCGCTACTGTGGACAACGCAACTGCATCCGCAGCTGCTGCTTCTTCAGCGTGTGCTGCTTCCGCTGCTGTAGCGGCTGCTCCACCAGAATCTCATCATCCACCTGCTAACCGCTGTCACGTCTGCAAACGTCGAGTTGGGTTGACAGGTTTCAAGTGTCGTTGCGAGGGTTTGTTTTGTTCTCTCCACCGCTACTCAGACAAGCATGATTGCTCCTTTGACTACAAGGCTGCTGGTCGTGAAGCTATTGCGAAGGCCAGCCCAGTAATCAAGGCCGACAAGATAGACCGCATCTGAACCTCACCCTGTCTTGGTTCAGCTTTCTGCTGCATAGCCACAACGTTGGGGTGGTATCTTCTGTGATCCTGGCCGCGTTGGCTAGTTGTCCATACGTTCATTGTGGTTGATTCTCGGGTGACTGGATACGTAGCTTAGGTTTTCTTGTGCATATTGCCTTGTGTGGAAGATATGGGTTTGGCATAATCTCAATGGGCTGTTGTAATATTTCCTGGGGCATGTAGAATTTTTCACTAGCAACACACAAAACAGGCCTAGAACCGGAGCACACACAACAATTCCCAGGGGCTCTCCGAACCGCATGTGCATTTCTGGTGCCTGCTTGCATTCCCCACTGCCTGTCTGCGTTCCATCGCCATGCGGGTTTGCTGCTTGAAATGAAACTGCATCACAATTCCCAAGGCACCACCGCAGGCATGCCACAAGAGCTGTGCGATTCGAGCACGGTGATGGCGTACGCATCCCCTCGTCCTTGTCAGTGCAAGACACATACCAACTTCCCCATGGGTTTTGGACTATCAGTAGAAAAAGGATCCACACCCGTAGTAGCTTCATTACAGCATTTCATGGAAGAATTGTTGCTTGTGCTGGTATCAGGCACTTTCGGGCTTTCGTGTTTTGGGTGGACGCATCCTCCCATCGAAAAAAGGAAGCGTTCCTGGATCACGTAGTAGCTGCTGTTGTGTGCACAGTCATATTATTCCGAACGTAGTAGGTTAGATGAAGGTGACGAATTTCCTGTCACAACAGTGAATGACATGCAACTGTCATAACGGCCATCTTCCGGGCCTTCGTTTTGTCAATATTACCTCCCTGTTGGCCAATCCAGAAATTCTTTCTTGGAAAGATAGCAGTCGACTGGAATGGCCTTTCTCTTGTCAATACCAGAGCAAGGGAATTCTATTCCGAGCTTTACGAATCTGCTTCCAGTGGCTGGGCTTACGACTTTGATATCATGTTTAGCGTCTTGGATTTTGATAGCAAACCACCTTCGATCTTACACAAAGCCAGACGTATGTATGCAGCTGGATCGGCTTACAGCTTTGGCTTTGCCTAAACAGGCGACTAGATAAACAGGCCCTGTCGTCAGTTCTGAAGCGTGAAACGGCTTTTCAAGAAAGTATTGATTGAATTGGATTGGGTTGTGTTGCGTGACTGCAGGAACAAAAGTGGATTGTGGCATGCGTCTTCATGCCTCCCCTCTACTCGCTCACTGCGGTACTTCTCTCTCATACCCCTCGTTTGCAGCGTTATCTAAAACCGTGTTAATATGGCAGCTGAATCCACGTATGATTGATAGCTCCGATACTATTAAGTAAAAAATCACTAATAATTCTGACTTCACGTGTGCGTGCTTCGTATGGTGTGCACTCTGCGTGCAGTATGTTTCTCTTCATGAGCCGCACTGGCGCTTGCTCTTACTCCTGGTTCGGGAGTGCTACGAGTCAGCTGCAATTTACTCTTTCGCCATGTTCCTCATCTCTTGCCTGGGTGAGCGATTGTTGTGGCTGCAATTCATGTCGCACTGATCTTCAACCGCTGGGATTTCTGTATCTGTTTTGATGTCATCTTTCATGGACGTGTATCCATTCGTTAGCGTTCTCCATCGTTGATTTTGCAAAATAATGATGCATACTCCATGTACCAGCTATTATGAATGCCAATAAATATTTTTATCTCTATCCTTCCTTCCCATGCCTCCCCTATCCCTTGTGTCTCCTGCTGCCCTCGCCAGGTGGTCAAGAGCGTACCATCTGGAAACTCTCAAGAAGCACCTACCAGCCCTTTCCTCGATCCGCAAATCCCCTTCGCAATCGTCGTGCACAACCAAATCCTCTCAATCAAGACTCCTCCCATCCAGCAGTCTCAGCATTCTCTGCAAACCCTTCACCACCTGATCGCACCACACAGGCTAACTTCACTCCCTCTCTCTTTTCAGCTTGGCAGCAAACCACCCTCTCAGCTTCCTCCAGGTCTGCCGGTCCATCTGTCACCCGTAAGGCAAGACCGAAGCGGTTTTTCCAAGAGTGCATTCTTGAGGAGCCACTATTGGAAGCTGATGCTGAAGCCGATGAGCCAACCTCTTCCTCCTCGCCTACTGAACGTCAGCCAGAGTTCTTGACCGGGGAGAGTTGTACTGTGCAGCGTTGGTTAAGGGATGCGGAAATCAAGGGCGTGTACAGCCAGGAGGAAGGGCTTGATGATGGCAAATGGAGCAGATTTTTGAGGGGAATGGCAGGGAGTGGGCGATGGGTCAGGAGGCGGCAGGAGGACAGCGAAGGGACAGGAGGACCGCGGTGGGGAGGGGTGGCGGAACAAGGAGAGGGATCTGGCGTTGACAATGGTGGTGGCAGCGGCGATGGTAGCAGTGGTGCTAGCAGTGGTGGCAGTGGTGGCAGCAGTAGAGATAACGTTGCTGGTGTCAGTAGTGGTTGGGGTGTTGCTGGAGGTTGGGCTCGTGCCGGCTCCAGTTGTTCAAACGCATCACCAGCAGCAACAGCAGCAATAACAGACTCACTTAGAATGCCTGAACCCCCCCATTTTGAAAGAATATGTTCCAGGCAGAAAACAAACACCGTCAGTGCCAGACGCAAGAATTCCCTTCCATTCCGCACAGGGCCACCCTCTTGCTCCGCTTCTGATGCAACGTGGCCAAAGGGAGGGGCAGCTGGCGGAGCAGTAAGGCTGCAACCACCGCAGAACACAGATAGCGAGTCTTGCACGCGCGAGGATGAGGGCTATTGGTCTTCTACCGATGCGGATGTTGAGTCGGGGCTTGGCGAGGGCGTGGGTGCGGGATGCTGGGAGTCTGTTCGGCAGGAGAGCATTGTGGGAGAGCCGGGATCATCAGGATTTGACTGGAGAAGCGGTGGTGCTGCTGGTGGCGATGATGGAGAAGGGGCAGGGGGAGCAGGAGAGCGAGCAGGAGGGCGAGGAAGAGGAGCAGCAGCAGCAGCAGCAGGAGCAGCAGCAGCAGCAGCAGGAGAAGCACCAGCATCCACTGCTGCAGCAGCACCACGGCCACCACCAGGAGCTGGAGTGGCAGCGGCGGCGGCGTCATCTGGAGCAGCAGTATACGTGCACCCTGTGCTGCTGCGGTGGTTCCTGAAGGAGTGGGTGCATGGGCAGCAGCTGTTTCAGGAGTGCAAATTCGGCATTGTGCTGTATGTGAGTTGCTGAGACGGGTAGAGACTTTCCACCTTTGTGATTGATTTTTCAGAATTCTTGAAAAGTGCGAATTTGATTAGTTTCTCTTTATTCAAGTAGCTTTCGTAGAGCCATCTCAAGTAGCACAAGACGCCTTGAGAGGGTTTCCTGCTTTCTGCCTGCATTTTGCATTGAGTCACCCTATGATAACCCCATGTTCACCCCATGTTCACCCCATGTTCACCCCATGTTCACCCCATGTTCACCCCATGTTCACCCCATGTTCACCCCATGTTCACCCATTTTCACCTTACGTTCACCCAGATGGTGATCAAGCCAGCATGTGCCCTGCTCCAGGTCGTGTTTGGCCCATTCGGACTGTACAAGGAGGGGGACTTCAGCCCGTACTCTCTGTAAGATACGACGCCACTGGGTGCCATTGCTCACAAGCACACTCACATTCATGCATGCACACATGCATGCATGCACACACACACACACACACACACACACACACACACACACACACACACACACACACACACATATACACACACACACACACACACACACACATCCATGCATGCACACACACACGTACGCACACATGCATGCATGCATGCACACACGCACACACACATGCATGCATGCATGCATGCACACACACACACGCACGCACACACACTTGCATGCATGCACACACACACGCACGCACACACACATGCATGCACGCACACACACACTCACGCCACCTACGCCCACAACCCCACTCACCCATACGCATCGACACCCCGTCCTCCCATCCAACCCACACCCCCCCCCCACACACACCACCCGGTGCTGCACACATCACCTGCTGCTGGCACAGTACCTCTGGTGGCAGAGTGTTCTCAACAACACTCTGCTGCTCGGATGTGGCCTGGCCTTGGAGGTTGCTGTGCCGTTCACATGGTCAGGTTGCTGAGGCTCAGAAGATTTTTTTACTTTTTCCTTTGTTTCTGGTGATTAGTGAGAGCAATCACCACTAATCCTGTCTGTAACCTTTGCATACCTTCACCCTTTCTCTGACAATATCTCCCTCCCCACCCTCCCCTCCCCTCCCCTCCCTCCTCTCCCTCCCCTCCCCAATCCCATCCCACCGCACCCCCCCATCCTCGCCTCCCCAGCTACCCATACGCAACTCTTCTCATAAACCTATCCCAGATGTACGCGCTGTACTGCATAGTCGTGTTCTACCACGCCATAGGCCACTACCTCGCGCACATCCGCCCCTTGGGCAAGTTCCTCGCCATCAAGGGCGTCATCTTCGTCACCTACTGGCAGTCTGTCATCATTGCTGCGCTGGTGTTGTTTCTTGGGTTGGCTTCTGGGGGTGCGCGCCCGCTGCATGGCCTGGAGTGGCAAGATGCGGTGCAGGACTGGCTTATCTGCGTGGAGGTGAGGGGGGTTTTGGGAAGGGCTTTGGTCACCACTCGCTTTTTTTTTTTTTTTTTTTTTTTTTTTTGGAACGAACAGCTGCATGGCTTGGAGTAGCAGGGTACGGTAGCAGGTATGTCTTAACTGCATCTGGGCATAATGGGTGTTGGGAGAGAGGAAGGATGGTGTGGGTGTGGATGCCATCATTGGTTTTCCGCTCTGCTTTGAAATCTTACTTTATTCTTTCAACTCTTACCCTAGTTTTCGTAACACATTCCAATAGCTGCAGCCAGCCACCACTTGACCTTCCCTCCCTTCCCCTTCACCCATCCCCCTTCCCATTCTCTTCTTCCCTTTTCCTTCCCCTATTCCCCTTCCATCCCTCTTGGCCCTTTCTTCATTCCTCTGATTCCCTGCGCCTCTCTCAGATGGCAGCAGCAGCGCTGGCCAACCACTGGACCTTTCCAGTCTCGCCCTACACGCGCTCCCGCCTCGCTCCTGCCCGCATGCAGCGCGTGCCAGCTGGCGTCGTGGCAGTGCTTGCTGACATGGCGGACCCGTCCGCCCCGCTGGACCCCGAAGAGATCCTGGCAAGCGAGGTGATTGGCCGAAGCCTGTTCAAGGGCAGCACAGCTGCTGCTGGTGCTGCTGTAGTTGATAGTGAAACTGCTGCTGCTACTGTGGCTTCTGGAGGTATTGGTAGTGGTGGTGCTGGCGCATTTCGAGTAGCGGCGATGGGAGCGGAAGGAGGGGCCTTAGGAGGAGGAAGATTGGGAGATGGGAGGGACAGAAGAGGGGGTGGAATGTGGGCTGGAGGAGATGTTGATGGGAGAGGAGGCAGTGGAGTAGAAGGGGAGTGGAATGCAGCAGGCAGTGCGGGATTGGCCGGTGCGCTAGCTGCAGCGTCACGCGTTGTTGGAGCGCCGTTTTGGAGAGACAGGCGAGAGGATGCATGGGAATATGCTTCTGACTACTTGGGAAGGAGGGACATGGAGGTTTCTGAGAAGATTCACGATGTTTTGGTTGGCGGTGGCACTGACGTGAGTCACCAAGTCCCTCTCTTTTTAAATACTAGATACTCCCACCCCCAAATTCGTTCCCTACCACTTCTCTCCCACAACCCTTCCACTTCCCTTTCTGACCCTGTAATTTTCATGCTCCCACCTCCTTGCCTCCCTGCTGTGCCGCACCTTCTCCTTCCTCCACTACTTGCACAGGCGAGTTGATAAAGGCAGACATTATGATCCTTCCGGCACCAATCCCTCCCACCCACACCCACCATGCCTGCCTTCCTGCGATATGCCTGCCTTTCTGCAATATCATTGCCAGTATTGCAGGACATGCAGGCACCAACGCAGCGTGACATGTAGCCCACCCATTTCTCAACTCCCTCTCCACCCTTCCCTCAACCACCAAACCATGCTTATGGCTGGTCACTAGGCCCTGCAGGACATGCAGTGTGGCATTCAACCCTACCAACCCACTTTCCTACCCTCTCTCTCATCCCCCCTCCATCCTACCGATCCTGATTCCCCCCGGTCCCCCCACCCGGGAACAACCCAAACCCTGGTCCTCCCACCCACCCCCACCCACCCTGCCTGCCTTCTTGAACACGCGGCTGGCGTTCCCCCAGGCGCTACAGGACATGCAGGCAGCAGTGCAACGAGGCATACTGCCCATATCCGCCGCAGTGGAGCCTCTCACAGCAGCCGTACAGCCCTTCTCTGCTGCTGTCACCAGCGCTCACCAGCAGGTCGCCTCCACGTGGCACCAGCTGCAGGCGTCCCTCCCTGCCCTCCCTGCTGCCTTCCTCCCGTCTGTTTCCAACTCTAGAGAAGCTGTGAGGGATGGAGGTGCGGGGGAGAGGAGTGGGCGTGTGCGGGGAAGAGGAAATGGAGGTGGTGGCTGTGGGGCGGATGGCAAGAGGTGGTCTGAAGATGATATAGGGATTGTGTTTCGCGGCAGGGGAGGGGAGGGAGGGGTGGTAGTGGGAAGTGAGGCTCTAACGTTTGCAGGAAATGGTGGGAGAAGGGCGCTTGGTGCAAGGATGATGCGGAATGATGGAGGCTGGGCGAAGGCAAGGCATGGCGGGGACAGGAAGCATGGGCCGACAGGAGGTGGTGGACATGAGACGAATCAAATATGTGTTTTAGATGTGAATTCAACAGTGCTTCGTGTTGGGGGGGGCTGTGATAGGCGTGCGGATAGGCACGTCCGACGTAGTCGCAGCTACGAAAGTGTTGCGGGGGAGGCCTTGTATTCTTTGTCGTAACACCTTGTTCCCTGCGTTTCCTCTGTTCTCTCGGGTATCAGAGTGCGCGAGAGAGAGTTACGGTACCGTCATACCCCGGATATACCCCCATGGGGGGCAATAATAAAACAGGTTTTTTTAGGGGGGGTGGGCTTATAATCGGGTAAATTTATAAGCGCCGGCGTTTATAAAACGACATATATATTTTATATATGTTTTAACACCAAGCTGTAGATCTCGTGCTAGCCTTTTTCAATCGAGTCGAAGTTCTGTGAAATTTCTCGCGCGCGCTGGAGATACACCTACTCTGACAGCTCCTGACAGCTTCTGACAGCTTCTGACAGCTCCTGACTGCTCCTGCTGACTGGTCCCGCATCCAGTGCAGGGTCCGAATGTGAAGGGAAGCGAATCTGCAACACATCCCCCTGCTGAAGTAGAAATCGTTACAGTGTTTCGAACACAATTCAAAATTTAAAGTTTACGTGCGCTTATAATAAAACAAGTTTTTTCAGGGGGGTGCGCTTATAATCGAGCACCGGATATAAGCGCCGGGCGCCGATTAAAAGCGCCAGGCGCTTATCCGCGGGTGGCGCTTATATCCGGGGTATGACGGTAATCTCCTTGTCTTTTTCCTTGATACTGTTGCATGCCAAGCTCCTGTGAAGACATAGTATCTGCTTACTGTACCACACTGTATCACCAGCACAGACATGCAGCCTGTTAGAGGGGTGTTTACTGTTCATTCCGAACAGTACTTCCCATCCCCAACCTTATCCTTATCTCCTTAGATTGCCTAGTGCCACGTTGCACTCTACTTTCGATGCTTTCCAATTCCTAGTCCCGCAATCCACTTTCAAACCTTCTCTCTTGCATGCTATATCAACCTTGCTTGTATCCACCAATATCAACCAATTCTCAATCAACTCTTCCAGTACTCAGTAACTTCTTCGCCTATTTCGCCAATAGTTCTTTCGCCAAAGTCTTCCACCACGTTTTCATCCTCGACTTAGTCGACCCCGCTTTTCGTTAGCGGACTTAGAGCGTGTTCCTACGGGCCCCTATCAGGCTGACCTCTGATCAGACTTGGTGCTTCGAGCGATTTCTTTATAAACACAGATTTATGACGTGAGAAAAATGTCAGAATGTGATGTTTGTCTAGCCTGCAGTGGGGTACTCTATAGCGAGTACAACCCAATTAGGGTTTCCTATATGTACTCAACTGCCTGCTAGTGAAAATCCTCTTTGCATGTTTCTTCTTTCTGCCTAGTATTTCGACATGCTATCAGAGCAGGTCGACCCTCCTGGGTCGATCCTGTGGGTGGTCCCGCCCGTTAGCTTCCGCTGCTGTTCTGTGTGTCGCGCGCCCCGTGGCGCGCGACGTTTTTTCTTCCCGCCACGCGCTCGGGGCGCGTGGCGGTTTTCTGCTCGCCGCGCGCCCCGAACGCGCGGCGGTTTTCTGCCTGCCGTGCGCCCCGAGGCGCGCGGCGGTTTCCCACCGTCGCGTCACCCCGGGGACCCGCGCGCGGCTCCCCGTCGCCCTCCGCGGCGGCCCCGTCGACCCGCGCGTGATTCCCCCATCGTCCGTCGTGGCGCCCCGTCGACCCGCGCATCGCCCCCGGGGACCCGCGCGCCCGTCCCCGTCGACCCGCGCGCCCCTCCCGTGGACCCGCGCGCCGCCCCCGGGGACCCGCGCACCCGTCCCCGTCGACCCGCGCGCCCCTCCCGTGGACCCGCGCGCCGCCCCCGGGGACCTCCGCGCCCGCCCCAGTCGACCCGCGCGCCGCCCCTTACCCCATGCGCCGCGGGGCTGCCTCCTCCCCGCTCCTACCCCGTGTTGCGTGTGTTAGGGTTTGGGGGTGGCGAGCGTGGGGGTGGCAAGTATGGGGGTGCCGAGTGTGTTTGCCGTCCCCTGCTCCTCCTCCTCCTCCGTCTCCCACTGCTGCAGCTGCCGCTGAGGGGGGTGGATGTGTTGGAGCCGTCGGAGTGGTACGAGGGGGGTGGCGTGTGAGCAGTGCTAGGGGTACAGCAGGGGGTGTGTGAAAAGGGGGTGGGACAGCTGGGGGAAGTTGAGTGGAGGCCGTCGACTTGTCGTCTGCAGCGCCTGAAGTGCAAAGAATGTAATAACGCGACGAATTGGTCGCGCGAAACCTTTCACACATGCGTGCTGTTTCGGCAAACCAGTGTCAGGAAATCGTTGAAACACGTGTGAAAAGACACTGTTTTGTCGGGTATGAAGCATTCGAATATTTTCAGCCCCCAAACGCACGTTTCAATCGCCTGTGACGTGTCAGAACTCGCGATTGTTCCTTGGCAATTTTGCGGGAGCGTTGCGCAGTGCCACGTCACCCACGCGTTTTGCAGAGCGCTTCGCCAAACAACAAGAAACGTTAATTGAAAAGCCTGTTCAATCCGAAATTTTAGTGTTTGGCTGGAGTCTGACAAGAGGCCAGTCTGACTAGAGGCTATAGGAACACGCTCTTAGGCCAGCGGGCCTAACACTTGGTATCAAGAGCCTTCGCGGGTAGCGACTTCCAAAGAGCGACCGTCCACGACGAGACTACAACGTAATCGTCCCGCGGTGCCGACTTGCAGACTTGGAGTCGTCGAGCGAACATGGACGAAACCATGCACGCTCACCCCCACGACATGGACAACACGCTTGCCGACCTCATGTGCCCACTTGAACAATTGACGTTGGAAAATCGTCAGGTACGAGCCGAAATGCAACAGCTTCGCAATTTCGCTTCTGACCGCCATGGTCATGCCGCACCAACTCCTGCACCCAACACGTCGACTGGCGCGGAAGCGTTGCCGGAACGTCGAAGTGCACTCAAGCCGCAGAAACCTGAGTTGTTCGACCCATGTCAACGCAACGCAAACGTGCGGACGTGGCTCTTCATGCTCAACAACTACTTCGCCGCGAGCGGGGTGCAAGAGGCGGACGCGCAGCAGCGGATCGAGTACGCTGTAATGCTTCTGAGGGGCCCGGCCTTGGAGTGGTGGCGCCAACTTACGCAGACTGCTGTACGGAGGGCTTAGTTGGACGGGCATCAACAGGGTGTGGGGCATGCAGCTGCAACATCGAGCTCAGGAAGTCTAGCTTTGGGTGTTACCACGGTTCCGACGACATGGGAAGGATTTGAAGCAGCGCTGAAAAGTAGGTTCAATTTGGTGAACGCCTACGAAGCTGCTAGGAAGCGTTTGCATAAATTCCGACAGATAGGCAACGTCCAGGAGTACACACGACGGTTCTTGAGCATCTGCAACGAAATAGACGACATCACGGAAGCAGAGATGCGCGATCGCTACCTCGAAGGGTTGAAGCCAAACATAGCGGAGGTTAAAGAGATTCACGGGTTGCCCACCTTCGAGTCGGTGATCGCAGCAGCAGAACGCGTCGACGCAGTACGAAGCCGACGGGGTCGTGACGATCGCGATAGGGGATACAAGCCGATCAACGATGCTCGATCGAGGGACGGACCATCGCCCATGGAGATTGGTGCAGTTAATAGGGACGGCTCACAGCGTAGCTGTTTTAGGGGGAACTGTCACTATTGCAAAAAATTCGGGACACATGAAGCGGGACTGCCAACAGCTTAAGGAACAGCAGCAGGGAAACGAAAACCACCAGTAGATAGCGGGTCGCTAGCTGGTGTGGAAGCTTCCGTACCCGCCACGTCTACCAACGTAGAGGAGACAGCTCGGGAGCAGTCATCTACGCCGAACTCGATAGACACTGTTGATCGTCCAGTCGTGCTTCTAAGGAAGCTTCGCGGAGTTCCTGTCAAGATTCATGTAGATAGCGGAGCTAGCCACTCGTTCGTGCCTTCGTCGCTAGTTAGTCGTCTCCATCTCGAAGCAGATTCAGCAGTCAACTTCAAGGATGCTCGCATGGTAGATGGGATGCCTCTCCACATAGGACCGATCATTCGCAAGTTGCGCGTAGTGCTAGGGCCAATCACAGTTAGACACGATTTCGACTCCGTGATGCTCGACGGATACGGTTTCATATTCGGGAGAGATTGGCTACGCACGGTTAGTACTCAGTTCGATTGGGCTCAGGGAAGCTGCAGCGTCAAGGTAGACGGGGAGTTCCGGGAGCTGCCACAGTGGAGCGATGGGGCCACATCATCCACAGCTATCATCAATACCGTTTGTGTGCGACAGCTGGTGAAGCTTGCAGCACGGATCTTCGCGATTTTCCTTGAGGATGTGGAAGCTAAAGAGGGGAAAGGAGGGAGTGCAGCAGTTAGTGAGAAGACGACTCTTCCTGCTGAGGTGAGTGCACTGTTAGCAGAGTTCGCAGACGTCTTCCCCGACGAGTTGCCCCCAGGGTTACCTCCCAGCCGAGCAGTAGACCATCGAATAGAGTTGGAGCCGGGGAGCAGGCCAGTAGCAAAGCCGCAGTGGAGGTTGAGTCCAGCAGAGACAGAGGAGATGACGCAGCAGGTTAGGCGCTTTCTCGCACAGGGGTTTATACAGCCATCTAGGTTTCCTTGGCCAGCACTGATTCTCTTCGTGCCAAAGAAAGACGGAGGGTTACGGATGTGCATAGATTACCGCGCACTGAACGCCGCCACCGTCAAGAATAGGTTCCCGGTGCCGAGAGTAGAGGATCTTCTAGATGCAGTGCAGGGCGCTAGAGTCTTCTCTAAGATCGACCTTCATTCGGGTTACCACCAGACTTGTGTAGTTCCAGAGGACCAGCACAAGACGGCGTTTCGTACGAAGCAGGGGTTGTACGAGTTTAGGGTTCTACCGTTCGGACTGACCAACGCCCCAGCGACGTTCCAGACGCTT